TAGTTAGTAGTTAGTTAGTTAGTTAGTTAGTTAGTTAGTTAGTTAGTTAGTTAGTTAGTTAGTTAGTTAGTTAGTTAGTTAGTAGTTAGTTAGTTAGTTAGTAGTTAGTTAGTTAGTTAGTTAGTTAGTTAGTTAGTTAGTTAGTAGTTAGTTAGTTAGTAGTTAGTAGTTAGTTAGTTAGTTAGTTAGTAGTTAGTTAGTTAGTTAGTTAGTTAGTTAGTTAGTTAGTTAGTTAGTTAGTTAGTTAGTTAGTTAGTTAGTTAGTTAGTTAGTTAGTTAGTTAGTTAGTTAGTTAGTTAGTTAGTAGTTAGTTAGTAGTAGTAGTTAGTTAGTTAGTTAGTTAGTGTAGTAGTTAGTTAGTTCGTTAGTTAGTTACGTTAGTTAGTTAGTTAGTTAGTTAGTTAGTTAGTTAGTTAGTTAGTTAGTTAGTTAGTTAGTAGTTAGTTAGTTAGTTAGTTAGTTAGTTAGTTCGTTAGTAGTTAGTTAGTTGTTAGTTAGTTAGTTAGTTAGTTAGTTAGTTAGTAGTTAGTTAGTTAGTTTAGTAGTTAGTTAGTTAGTAGTTAGTTAGTTAGTTAGTAGTAGTTAGTTAGTTAGTTAGTTAGTTAGTTAGTTAGTTAGTAGTTCAGTTAGTTCGAGTTAGTTAGTTAGTTAGTTAGTTAGTTAGTTAGTAGTTAGTTAGTTAGTTAGTAGTTAGTTAGTTAGTTAGTTAGTAGTTAGTTAGTTAGTTAGTTAGTTAGTTAGTTAGTTAGTTATTTAGTTAGTTAGTTAGTTAGTTAGTTAGTTAGTAGTTAGTTAGTAGTTAGTTAGTTAGTTAGTTAGTTAGTTAGTTAGTTAGTAGTTAGTTAGTTAGTAGTTAGTTAGTTAGTATTTAGTTAGTTAGTTAGTTAGTTAGGTAGTTAGTTAGTTAGTTAGTTAGTTAGTAGTTAGTTAGTTAGTTAGTTAGTTAGTTAGTTAGTTAGTTAGTTAGTTAGTTAGTTAGTTAGTTAGTTAGTTAGTTAGTTAGTTAGTTAGTTAGTTAGTTAGTTTAGTTTAGTTAGTTAGTTAGTTAGTTAGTTAGTTAGTTAGTTAGTTAGTTAGTTAGTTAGTTAGTTAGTTAGTTAGTTAGTTAGTTAGTTAGTTAGTTAGTTAGTTAGTTAGTTAGTTAGTTAGTTAGTTAGTTAGTTAGTTAGTTAGTTAGTTAGTTAGTTAGTTAGTTAGTTAGTTAGTAGTTAGTTAGTTAGTTAGTTAGTTAGTTAGTTAGTTAGTTAGTTAGTAGTTAGTTAGTTAGTTAGTTAGTAGTTAGTTAGTTAGTTAGTTAGTTAGTTAGTTAGGTGTTCGTTCGAGTGTTAGTTCGATAGTTAGCCCAATAATTTGTTTGATAGTTTCTTCGATTGTTTTTCGGTAATTCGATATTTATTTAATCCTATAAATTTATAGACATCACAGTCTATTCCAGCGTTACTTCGTTATTTGTAAAGGCCTCCTTACATTGACTTTTTTTACAAAAATCTATTGCCACTACAACTACCACTTAAGACAGCAACAAATATCTGTTAATATTTTCTAATTACTTAAAGTAGTACATCATCATTACCAATTGTCATTGTTAGTTTAATAAGCCAAGAATATAAAATAAATTAATTTCTTCTTATGATTACTTCAATGATAACTTGTTACTGTTTGCTAATTTTCACAAATCAGCAAAAAAACATAAAACATTTTCAAGTTATGTTCTTTCATTCGTTGAATCATAAATTTATATCATAATTTTACTAGGAAAGAGGATAGAGTTGCAAAAATTCTTTGCACATTTTAGCTATTCATAACTAAGTAAATGTATCTTGTTTTCTGATGCGGCATTCATTCTTCATGCAGCAGCCTCTGTTACATTTGATATTATTTCGTCATTGTTCAAGATACTTTAACATCACTTACAGTTATACACTCTCATATACAAAAAAACATTTGAAATGTTAACTGATTTTCTCAACTTAAGATACTTAATGAAATAAATATGAAGAAGTAAAAAGAAAGGATAAATAATTTAGGGGTGGCAAGAACGACAATGTACTACACTACATATTTATATAAATATTATAAGTTTTACTATTTATATGACATCAACAACTAATAATGCCCTCCACGTTGACATTACTTAGACACACAAAAGCAAAAGAGAATAAATATTAAACATTTTAACAATTTTGCGTTTATCAAAAAAAGTTTATTTAACTTTTTTTTTTAAACATTTTTAACTCCTTTGAAATAATTCAGTTACATTCAGTTGCATTCAGAATAACTTTTTTTATATTTTATTTTTTTGTGAAACTTGTTTTTCTAACGCATTTTTTGTATGTTTCTTAGTAAATTTTCAATTATAAGTTTTTGTTGTTTAATGCTGTTGCTGTTCTTGTTATTGTTGTTATCCTTGTAGTCTTGTTACCAAGTAATTCATGTGTACAAATATGTCGTCGTCGCTACAAATAAAATATACAAAAAATCCGAAAAAAACGAAAATAATATTTACAAAAATAAATTGTTAAATAAACGAAAATAAAGTTTTTCTTGATACAACATCCTTATTTTGTTAATATTTTTCGTCTTCTTGTTATGCACCAATTCCTTGTTAAGTTGTTCATATTTCAATTTGATGTATGAGAAGGGTGGCAAGAGAGAGGGAGAAATTATTCGTTGACTAACAACAACATGATTACAATTGTGACTACAACGTCTAAAATTCGATAGTTAGTTCGATAGTTAATGTGTGTTCGACAGTTTGTTAGATAGTTTGTTCGATTTGTTAGTTCCATTGTTAGTGCGATAGTTTGTTCAAATGTTTGATCGATACTTGGCTCGCTCCTCAATTAGATATTTAAGTTTTTTTTAAGTTGACTCATTACTTCTCTAGTTGTAACTCGATGTAAAGGCCTCTCTTACATTGCTATTTTACACCAAAAACCATTATAATTGTGTCTTGTCGCTGGTGGTCGTAATTGTAATTAAGCTAAGTAAGTTGATATAAACCAAAAAGGAACTGTTGACAATTTTTTCGCTGTTGGCACTTATTTTCATGTTGTTCATGTTTATTTCGTTTTTTAAACATATGCAAAATTATAATATTAAAATTGAAAATGTTAAAAAGGAATAGCCTCGTTTTTATAGCCAAAATGTTGTTCCCATTGCTCCAGTTCAGTTCTAGTTCAGTTCTAGTTTAGTTCTAGTTCAGTTCTAGTTCAGTTCTAGTTCAGTTCTAGTTCAGTTCCAGTTCAGTTCTAGTTCAGTTCTAGTTCAGTTCTAGTTCAGTTCTAGTTCAGTTCTAGTTCAGTTCTAGTTCAGTTCTAGTTCAGTTCTAGTTCAGTTCTAGTTCAGTTCTAGTTCAGTTCTAGTTTAGTTCTAGTTCAGTTCTAGTTCAGTTCTAGTTCAGTTCTAGTTCAGTTCTAGTTCAGTTCTAGTTCAGTTCTAGTTCATTTCTAGTTCAGTTCTAGTTCAGTTCTAGTTCAGTTCTAGTTCAGTTCTAGTTCAGTTCTAGTTCAGTTCTAGTTCAGTTCTAGTTCAGTTCTAGTTCAGTTCTAGTTCAGTTCTAGTTCAGTTCTAGTTCAGTTCTAGTTCAGTTCTTGTTCAGTTCTAGTTCAGTTCTAGTTCAGTTCTAGTTCTAGTTCAGTTCTAGTTCTAGTTCAGTCTAGTTCTAGTTCAGTTCTAGTTCTAGTTCAGTTCTAGTTCAGTTCTAGTTCAGTTCTAGTTCAGTTCTAGTTCAGTTCTAGTTCAGTTCTAGTTCAAGTTCTAGTTCAGTTCTAGTTCAGTTCTAGTTCAGTTCTAGTTCAGTTCTAGTTCAGTTCTAGTTCAGTTCTAGTTAGTCTAGTTCTCGTTCAGTTCTAGTTCAGTTCTAGTTCAGTTCTAGTTCCGTTCTAGTTCAGTTCTAGTTCAGTTCTAGTTCAGTTCTAGTTCAGTTCTAGTTCAGTTCTAGTTCAGTTTAGTCAGTTCTAGTTCAGTTCTAGTTCAGTTCTAGTTCAGTTCTAGTTCAGTTCTAGTTCAGTTCTAGTTCAGTTCTAGTTCAGTTCTAGTTCAGTTCTAGTTCAGTTCTAGTTCAGTTCTAGTTCAGTTCTAGTTCAGTTCTAGTTCAGTTCTAGTTCAGTTCTAGTTCAGTTCTAGTTCAGTTCTAGTTCAGTTCTAGTTCAGTTCTAGTTCAGTTCTAGTTCAGTTCTAGTTCAGTTCTAGTAGTCAGTTCTAGTTCAGTTCTAGTTCAGTTCTAGTTCAGTTCTAGTTCAGTTCTAGTTCAGTTCTAGTTCAGTTCTAGTTCAGTTCTAGTTCAGTTCTAGTTCAGTTCTAGTTCAGTTCTAGTTCAGTTCTAGTTCAGTTCTAGTTCAGTTCTAGTTCAGTTCTAGTTCAGTTCTAGTTCAGTTCTAGTTCAGTTCTAATTCAGTTCTAGTTCAGTTCTAGTTCAGTTCTAGTTCAGTTCTAGTTCACTTCTAGTTCACTTCTAGTTCAGTTCTAGTTCAGTTCTAGTTCAGTTCTAGTTCAGTTCTAGTTCAGTTCTAGTTCAGTCTAGTTCAGTTCTAGTTCACTTCTAGTTCAGTTCTAGTTCAGTTCTAGTTCAGTTCAGTTCTAGCTAACGCACGAGGGAATGTGCTCCACACGAACAACCCTAAAGTGGAAGATAACTGGAGTGAGGATCATCTCTGAAAACCCGTAAACTTAAATATTGTATCCAAAAAGGTAGTATTAGACTGTTAGAAATAACCGGATTATTCATTAGAGATTATGTCCAGAGAACTGACTTTAAGATTTTCACCCCAAAAAATCCATGTTAAAAACTTTTTTCTAATTTAAGATTTTAAGTGCTGTAAGTTCTACATATATTGTGCTATAGAAAACTACTTTAATTACACACACCAAAAAATAAAAATAAAAAAAGTCATAAATCCATAGTATATTTCCCAAAGTGTAAAAAACTGTTTGGTCATAATGCTGAAATTCTGAGACCAGATTCACAGCTCAATCATTTAGGAAAGTGTACTTTGGGTTAAAAATTTGTTGGCTTGTGTAATTTCAAAATTTTAAAGTTGAATTGCTCCCTTGTTTTAATCCAAACTGTTCAATATACTGAAATAACTGTAGGCACCACGGACCACCTGAAAAAATAATTATTGACATTATATATCAAACGTCTTATATACAATTTTGAAATACGAAACATACGTCTATAAAAGTTTTCAAATTAAGTTCCACAAAAATGGCCTTCATTATCAAAGGCGTATTAGATTCCATCATCATTAAACGTATAGATTTCTGAACATTTACCGGAAATTTATACCAGGGACTAGAGTAGAGGGCAAAGCTGAGTTCATCGTTCTTAAAAACAGGTTTAAGGAACCCCCTTATTTTATAATTTATAAAAAATTTCAGAAACTTACACATTCCGCTATTAAAGTGGCATGCCAGTGATACAACCACAATATAAAAGACATGACAAACAGATATATGGCTATAAATAAATAGTCCATTTTAGAAAGGTTCTGAAATTTTCATAAAAATAGTATAAAAACATTTTTACTTAAAAGGTCACAAAAGCACTTACACCCGCTGCTATGGCATAAAATAGAAAACATATTAAAACCGAGAATATGATAAAATCCGAAAACACCGGTATCTTAATCAAAGATTGTAACTCATTAGTAAACCTATTAAATATTAAAGAAATTCTGAAATATAAAAATTTTAACAAATATTTTTACAAAATAAAAACCATCTTAAATTGATCTGTTCTTTAACACAAAATTCACACATTTTTGCATGCCACTTTAGCAATTCCCTTTCCTCTAGGGTCTTCAATCTATCCGCATCACGTTGGGAGGATAGTTTAGCCAGCTGGGAACAATTTGGAAATATTATTCTATTTAAATATATTTTTAAATTGTTACTAACATCATAATCCTTTAATCTCTTATGTATTATATCATATTTTAAAACGATATATTTCATTAAACACGTAACAAATGTGTGCCAACAGGGTATAACGGTAATGCCTAAAAACAAAGCATAACAGGCCCCCAAATAACCCACTACGAAATTATCGTAAACCTCACCAAAGGGAAATAGTTGAAACAGTAATATCGGCTGGGCTGTGCCATTGAGAACCTGAAATTATAAACATCTGATGATACTCTCTCTATTTCATCGATTTTAAGAGTTTCAACCGATTTTGATTTGTACTTTGCTTTACTCACCTCTGGTATATTGAATACGGTTTCGGGCATAAAGGCCGTACGATAAAAACAATCAATATATGCTATAAAGCCGGCAATTAAAGATGGGGTCCACATTAAAACCGTTATAATACGTAAATATTTTACGGTTTTAGCCAACATTATTTCTTCTAACGGATCGGTAATACGTAAGAGTCCGGTAATATCATCATGCAGAAATTTAACCATGCGAACTACCCCTGTTTAAAAAAGTTATAAACAAATTTTAATTGAAAAAAATGTTGTACATTTTCAATTCTATAGTCTGGACTATAGACTAGACTATAGACTAGACTATAGACTAGACTATAGACTGGACTATAGACTATAGACTGGACTATAGACTAGATTATAGACTAGACTATAGACTAGACTATAGACTAGACTATAGACTAGACTATAGACTAGACTATAGACTAGACTATAGACTAGACTATAGACTAGACTATAGACTAGACTATAGACTAGACTATAGACTAGACTATAGACTAGACTATAGACTAGACTATAGACTAGACTATAGACTAGACTATAGACTAGACTATAGACTAGACTATAGACTAGACTATAGACTAGACTATAGACTAGACTATAGACTAGACTATAGACTAGACTATAGACTAGACTATAGACTAGACTATAGACTAGACTATAGACTAGACTATAGACTAGACTATAGACTAGACTATAGACTAGACTATAGACTAGACTATAGACTAGACTATAGACTAGACTATAGACTAGACTATAGACTAGACTATAGACTAGACTATAGACTAGACTATAGACTAGACTATAGACTAGACTATAGACTAGACTATAGACTAGACTATAGACTAGACTATAGACTAGACTATAGACTAGACTAGACTAGACTATAGACTAGACTATAGACTAGACTAGACTATAGACTAGACTATAGACTAGACTATAGACTAGACTATAGACTAGACTATAGACTAGACTATAGACTAGACTATAGACTAGACTATAGACTAGACTATAGACTAGACTATAGACTAGACTATAGACTAGACTATAGACTAGACTATAGACTAGACTATAGACTAGACTATAGACTAGACTATAGACTAGAACTATAGACTAGACTATAGACTAAACTATAGACTAGACTATTGACTAGACTATTGACTAAACTATAGACTAGACTATAGACTAGACTATAGACTAGACTAGACTAGACTATAGCCTAGACTATAGACTAGACTATAGACTAGACTATAGACTAGACTATAGACTGGACTATAGACTAGACTATAGACTAGACTATAGACTAGACTATAGACTAGACTATAGACTAGACTATAGACTAGACTATAGACTAGACTATAGACTAGACTATAGACTAGACTATAGACTGGACTATAGACTGGACTATAGACTATACTATAGACTAGACTATAGAATAGACTATAGACTAGGCTATAGACTAGGCTATAGACTAGGCTATAGACTAGGCTATAGACTAGGCTATAGACTTGACCATAGACTAGACCATAGACTAGACCATAGACTAGACCATAGACTAGACCATAGACTAGACCATAGACTAGACCATAGACTAGACCATAGACTAGACATTAGACTAGACCATAGACTAGACAATATACTAGACCATAGACTAGACCATAGACTATACTATAGACTAGATATAGACTAGACTATAGTCTTGTCTTGTCTATAGACTATATATATTTATAGTCTATAGACTACACTGTAGACTAGACTATAGACTAGACTATAGACTAGATTATAGACTAGACTGTAGACTAGACTATAAACTTGACTATAGGCTAGATTATAGACTAGATTACAGACTGGACCGTATACTAGACTATAGACTAGACAGTAAGCTAAATATAGACCAGACTATAGACTGGACTATAGACTAGACTATAGACTACACTATAGACTGGAGTATAGACTGGACTATAGACTGGACTATAGACTAGACTATAGACTGGACTATTGACTAGACTATAGACTGAACTATAGAATGGACTATAGACTATACTATAGACTAGATGTGACTATACTATATATGATAACGTCTTCATTTATAGAAATTATTTCAAAGGTTTCTTTACCGATTAGATTTTAACTTACGTGTTCTTTGAAAGAATGCATTTGACGTGGCGATTGATGTGGATAAATATAAAAAAGCTGTTGCACAACTTGTGGCACCTTCCGCCAAACTGGTAAATCCTTTGGAAATCTTCATAAACTTTTTTAAATAATTTAAAAAGAAATGTTTAAAATAAAGCTATTAGGGAGGAGCTTTACAAATTACTTGATCACACTTGGAAAAAATTCCACATATATGGAAGTAGTTTTAAAGTATGTCGGGGGGTCTATAAAATATAATTTCAAAGTACATCTTACAATTAAACAACAGGACACAACAAATGAGGCAATAAAAATGGCGCCTTTACGTAAACTTAATATTTTATTTTGCTGTTTTTGGGATACAATGTAACCAAATAATTTCATATACTTCAAATGTACGCAGATCAACGAATTGGTAAAAACATCTTCGGGCACTTCTAGATCTTGAAGTTTTACCATGATACTTTAACGCAAAGAAACTTTTATCCAAATTAACAATTTATCAACGACTAAATTAAAACTAACAAAAATCTGCAGTTAGATTTGTCATTTATAACAAAATTAAAAGTCCATTTAAAATTAAAACAACAATTACGCAAAAAATATAAACAACAATTACAGTAAAATATAATTATTTTGCAACAACTGCTACTAATTGTTTATTCGAATTATTTTCACAAAATTTAACACCTTTGCAATTAATAGTAAATATTTAATAAGATTCATTAAGTGCATTTTTACAATTGGGGCTCCTCATTTAATACGACCGGTTCACCATCCAATTTTTTAATTGTCGGCAAACGTTTTATACACTCGGCACGCCAAGTGGCCTCATCTAGACCATCGGCTATGGGATTACCCACCACTACTAAATCTTCTAGTGATTCCAATTCTTGAAGACGATTGAATTCAGCCCAATCTTTTATAAGATTATTGCTGATATAAAGCACTTTTAGATTTCGCAGAGCCGAAAGACCTTTAATCTTTTCGATGAGATTATAACTAATCCAAAGTTCTTGGAGCGTATCGGCTACAGCTTCCTGTAAAGATGATCATTTGGGAATTTGTAGGTTTAAAGAAAATGTTTGATTTAGTTCTAGTTCAGTTCTAGTTTAGTTCTAGTTCCGTTCTAGTTCAGTTCTAGTTCAGTTCTAGTTCTAGTTCAGTTCTAGTTCAGTTCTAGTTCAGTTCTAGTTCAGTTCTAGTTCAGTTCTAGTTCAGTTCTAGTTCAGTTCTAGTTCAGTTCTAGTTCAGTTCTAGTTCAGTTCTAGTTCAGTTCTAGTTCAGTTCTAGTTCAGTTCTAGTTCAGTTTTAGTTCAGTTCTAGTTCAGTTCTAGTTCTAGTTCAGTTCTAGTTTAGTTCTAGTTCTAGTTCTAGTTCAGTTCTAGTTCAGTTCTAGTTCTAGTTCAGTTCTAGTTCAGTTCTAGTTCAGTTCTAGTACAGTTCTAGTTCAGTTCTAGTTCAGTTCTAGTTCAGTTCTAGTTCAGTTCTAGTTCAGTTCTAGTTCAGTTCTAGTTCAGTTCTAGTTCAGTTCTAGTTCAGTTCTAGTTTAGTTCTAGTTCAGTTCTAGTTCAGTTCTAGTTCAGTTCTAGTTCAGTTCTAGTTCAGTTCTAGTTCAGTTCTAGTTCAGTTCTAGTTCAGTTCTAGTTCAGTTCTTGTTCAGTTCTAGTTCAGTTCTAGTTCAGTTCTAGTTCAGTTCTAGTTCAGTTCTAGTTCAGTTCTAGTTCAGTTCTAGTTCAGTTTTAGTTCAGTTTTAGTTCAGCTCTAGTTCAGTTATAGTTCACTTATAGTTCAGTTCTAGTGAGTTCTAGTTCAGTTCTAGTTCAGTTCTAGTTCAGTTCTAGTTCAGTTAGTTCTAGTTCAGTTCTAGTTCAGTTCTAGTTCAGTTCTAGTTCAGTTCTAGTTCAGTTTTAGTACAGTTCTATTTCAGTTCTATTTAAGTTCAGTAAAGTTCCACTAGTACTTACCAATCCCGATATTTGTTTTATATAATTTCTAGCCAGCGATAGGACCCTCAAATTCTTCATACCATTTAGACCGAAAATTTTCTCTATCATATTGGTAGATAAGCTTAGACGTCTAGAAGAAAAGGCGAGAATTATTTTGGAAACATTTATTAGTTCAGTATTCAATTACATCCTTGACAGATTGATGTGAAATTTTGTAAACTATTTTCTCATTTTCAAATCACTTTAACGTTTCCCAAAAATGTAACAATAGTCTGTAACTTTTCCCTCGATTTTTCCATATTTATCTTAAAAATAGTTAAGCTTTCATTTAATTTCAATACTCACTCGCAATTGACCAACGAACCCAATGTATTGTCCATTTTTTCTATGGGCGGCCATTGAAATTGTAATTCTATTGCTGTGGCTTGAGCTGCACTTTGTTGCTCTCGTTCCTCCCAGCGTTTGAGAGCCTCCTTTATGGTAGTAGCCTTAGACATTCTTTAAAATAATGTATATTAAGAAAATGTTCTACTAAATTTGTGTAACAAAAGTGAAATGTTCAAATAAACTTTGACGATAACGTTGTCAATAGAAACCGTTACCATAATGCTATTATTAATATTTTATAGTAACAAATAGAAGGCAAGTACATTTTCAAATGCTCAAATAAAAAACACACACAATTTAAATATTTTTTTCTTTATAATTTACATATTTTTAATTCATTATTAAAATATATAAACTAATACACGTAGTCATGATAAAAATATGATATTTTTATCATGCACGTAGTTATTCATATTAATTCTTTCGTTTATTACAAATAGAGTTTGTAAATTAAAACATAAAAAAGTGAAATAATAATAAAGCTGTTGTTATAAAGTAAAAACAGTAATTTTTTCATGTTTTCTAAAAAAATATCTAGATATTCCCCCGTATTAACTAAAGAAGTGTGCCCGCCCATAGATGGTAGTGTAGTAAGTGGTAGTAAAACTTAACGTCTATCGGCCGTACCGCTGCCTCTCTTGCCCGCATACAAATGTTTGGGCATTTTAGTACCAATAAAACGATCAGCTTCACCCTTAAGACACAAACGTCCCACCTTCTTAGCAATGTCTTTCTTGGCCATAACTTGGGCCTTCTTCTTCATGGCGGTATTCTTAATGCCCATGGTATCACGTGCTGGTTTACGTTTCAATGGCTGGCCGGTCTTCTTAACAACAGCGGAGGATTCTTTGTCCAATAAAGGTTTCTTGAGCTCCTTCTTTGAACCGACAGCAATTTGACCACGTCTTAAATCGACCACAGATTTTGTGAAGTTGGCATTGGAAGAGCCAGACATATCGACACCAAGATTTTCCATGGTCTCCACCAATTTGGAGACAGAACGATCGCGTACTTTGGGTTGTTTGTGTCTGGGTATGATGGGTTTGTTTTTGCGGGGCTGTAGACGCTTTTCGTCGCGCAATAAGAAACGTTTCTCGCGGATTTTCTTGGCCATTTCACGAATTTCTTTAAGTGTTTCATCCATAGTCATATCAGGCAAGTCATAGACACCACCTTCTTCACGTATACCCTCAGCTCTTTCGAGTTCTTCCAATTTATCAAAGATATCAGGATCAATGTAATCGGCAATATTGTGGCCTTGCCAGAATTCAGGTATGACATCGTAACGTTCTTCTTCGGGTATATCGGTGTAGTTCTTTTTCAAATCCAAAGTGTAATCATCACCCATTTCTTCTTCGATTTCCTTCTCCAACTTACGTTTACGTTCAGCCTTGGCGGCATTCTTTTCCAATCTAGCCAAAGCCTGTTCGGGTATGCAAGGAGCTCTAACCTTATCATCTCTGGGAGCTGGCATTGCCACATGCAAACGATTTAAGATATTGTCTACCTTCTTGGTGCGCATCTTTTGATCTACTCTGTAGGAGAGTAAACGTTCACAGGCTTCCATTTTGACCTCCATAACACCGGTTTCTTGTACAGTAGACATTAACATTACTGGTACTGCCTTATCTTCCTGTAATTTCTCAATTAGTTGTCTCTTTTCGACGGGCAAATCTTCTACACCTAGAATATCAATTTTGTTGATGGCCAGAATCAAAGGTTTGTTGGTGAATAGAGGTTTGATACTTTCAAACAATTTAATTTGTTCTTCCAAGGAATGACCACATTGTTCTGAAATGTCCATGAAGTAAAGTACACAAGCACGTAAATGAGCCAAGGCAGTAATGGCCTGCATTTCAATGACGTTACGTTCTTCCAAAGGATGATCCAAAATACCGGGGGTATCAATGACCTAAAATTAAGTTAAAGGAAATAATTTAATAAGAAATTTTAGAGAAATCCTGAACAAAAATTTTAAAATTTGATTCATTCCTCATAAACCTACAAAAGTAATTATGTTCATCGGTGCTTTAAGATTCTATATTGATCTAGTTATGTCCGTCCGTCAAATACAAATTAGTTCTTTATGGAGAAAAGCTAGTAGTGGGCTGACATTTTTCATATTCCATGTTTATGCTAATCGATCTTCCATGCTTATTTTCAGGAATTATATGAAATTTTGTCCTTAGGAATTGATCTAGTTGTGTCCGTCAGTTTAAAGTACCATTTGGCTTAAACGGAAGAAACTTGTCTATCTATCTATATATTTATCAAAAGAGCTTAAAATCTACATCATAAAATAGTTACTAAATATTGTTTGCGATAACTTACCTGCCATCTCAAATATTTATAATCAGTGTGACCAACATACAAAGATTTGGTAGTGAAAGCATAAGGTTGAACCTCAACATCAGCTCTGGTGATTTTATTGATAAACGAAGATTTACCCACGTTAGGGAAACCGCAAATAATGATGGTACGCGAATAGGGGTCAATAGTAGGCAAACGAGACAAATGCTGACGTACTTGTTCCAAATAAGTTAAATTTGAAGCTTGTCTCTTCATAATAGTGGCCATACGACCTAAAGCGGCCTTTTTCAATTGTTTACAACGATACAACGAATCACCATACTTCAGCAAACGGACATAATCCTTAGCGACACTGCAAGAAGGAAAAGACACAAAGATTTTAAATTGTTTTTGCTTTTGAATAGAACTTTAACAAACTTACTTGTCGATTAAATGACGAGCTGTATTCAATTGACCCAAAGCCAATTTGTAATGATCTTTGTCGTATAAAACATTCATTAAATCAGCATAGAAAGGATGTACATCATCTAGCTTGGGGAAATCTTGAATAATCTGCGAAAGACGGTCGTGGAAATTCTGTTGGGTAAATTTCACTTTACGGGTGTAGAAGGCACGAATACGGGAGATTTTATAACCTTTGTGTACAACAGTAGGAGTCTTACGCTGGGTCTTCGACAGCATAATATCGATAAAGTCCTGGAAAGCATAATGATGAAATTAGTAATTATTTGTAAACAAAGTAAATGAGGTTATGTTATCGTCCAGAGGGTGCTCCCTTGGGGTAACGCTGGCTTTTTGCATCAAAAACTTACCTTTGCTGGCGGAACCACCATAATTTTTTTAAAATTATACAAACTCATTTTGTAAGGATATTTTCTTTTATTTTACACGTGTATTTTAAATAAAAATAAAAGAAATAAACGGGTATATTTAATGCGCACACAACAACCACGAGGCGACGCAAAACCCAAAAAGAAAAGAGCTACCAGATGTTCAAATTCAACTTCAAAACAAATGTCAACAATGATGACAACATAAACAACGTGGCAATGCTAGAGATAAATAAATGGGAATGCCACAGTGTTTAGTTAAAGCAATAGCATTGCCAGCTGTAAATGTTTAATAGGGCATCTCTGTTAGACGTTAAATTTAAAGCAATTTTTAATACATTTGTGCTAAAAGCGAATTTTAAAGCTTTAAAATTGTTTTTTATTTGAATTTATACTGAAAAATGGTAAATTTATTTAGCTACCAGTATAAAAGTGGTAATTTTCTTTGCGTAAAATACATACAAGATATATATTTTTAAAAATTTACTTTTTTTGACATGAAGTCATTATTTCACAAATATAGGGTAATTTTATATCGCATTTTACTGTCCTCCAGGTACGATTAACAGTTAAGGCCACACAGCTGGTATTTGTATACGGTAAACTATAAGAGAACAAGTTATTTTCAATATTTAGATTCGATTTATAGTTCACAATAAGGCAACAAATGGTAAAGTTTTCCGATTTATTAAAAAAACATTTTTCAATAAAATTTCCGTCCGAAATGGGAGAAAAATATTTTTCAATTCAGAAAAACATTTTTCCCTAAAGTGCAAAATAAATCAGCTTAAACCTAACCTTCTCTTTGGATTTCCCGGCTCCCAGGCACGATAAGCAAAACATTCTAAATTTTCCCATTCACTATTGAAAAATTCAAAATTATTAGACCACGACTGATTGTAGTATAAACCAATATAGGCCAAATATATTATTGGTTTAACATTTAGCGCTTTCTCATTATTATAATTGACAATTACATGTGTCAAAGCTTCGGTTCGTTTTTGTGATGCCACATGAGCTAAGGTGCCACAATGATTGCGAGAATGGCGACAATTTGCTCTCGCATTTAGATAAGTATCTGGATTGGTGTGTAGCTCAAATAAACCAATTTCAGGTAGGCAAATGTAATCCCTAGAATCTGAAATTGTAAAAAATATAAACCCCTTTAAGGTCCTCACGTTATAACGTACTACTTTACTTTCTTACCCATAGCTTTTTCATAGAGAGCATAATAATCAAATGATGTATCGTTTACCATTGTTTTAAATGTTAAATTTTCTGGACATCGTAGTATATGACAATTAAAGTATAGATGTGGCTGATTCCAATAGTGATCGAGAAATGTTTTGGAATCTGGAAAAAATAAACTTTTACTAAAGTAGCATTGGACTAGTCTATTGACTATTCTATTGATAAGTCTATGGACTAGTCTATTGACTAGCATATATGTAAACTAGTCTATGCTTATGACCAGTCTTTGAACTAGTTTATTGACTATTCTATTGATTAATCTATGGACTAGTCTATTGATTAGCCTATAAACTTGTCTATGGACTAGTCTATTGACTAGCCTATAAACTTGTCTATGGACAAGTCTATTGCATAGTCTATGGACTTGTCTATGGATTAGTCTATGGATTAGTCAATGGACTAGTCTATTGACTACTCTATTTACTAGTCTAGGGACTAGTCTACAAACTTGACTTTTGACTAGTCTATTGTCTTTCCTATTGACTATTTAGTCTATAAACTACTATGTTTACTTTTATACGGACTAGTCTATGGAATAGTCTATAAACTAGTCTATTGATTAGGCTATGGGAAAGTCTATTGACTAGTCTATGGACTATTCTATAAACTAGTCTATGGACTATTCTATAAACTAGTCTATTGACTAGTCTGTAAATTTAACTATTGATGTTTCTATGGACTAGTCCATGATATTGACATGTCTATATACTACACAATTTACTTTTCTATGGACTTGTCTTAAAACTATTCCTTTAACAAGTCTATGGATTAGTAAATAAAATATTCGTTTAACTAGTTTATGGACTAGTCTATGTACTGCTCTATGGACTAGTCTATTGACTAGGCTATGGACTAGTCAATGAACTACTCTATTGAATAGTCTATTGACTGATCTATTAACTAGACTATTGGATAGTCTATGTGCTAGTCTATGTGCTAGTCTCGTGTTTAGTCTAATAATCAATATATGGACTAGGCTATTGGCCAATCTATAAGCTAGTATATTAGCTATTCTATCAATTAGTTTATGTACTAGTCTGCGGATTACTCTGTTGATGTACTCTAATGACTAGTGTTCCAGTATTAACTACACTATGAACTAGTCTATTGACTGGTTTGTTGACTATAATCTTGAAAATAGTCCATAACTCGAATAAGTTTAAACAAATTTTTAGTTTCAAAAAGTGTAAACTAGTAAACAATTAATTTTTGGTTTTTATTTCTTATTTACCCGCATATTTTCTTGAAAATCTAATATCGGGTGAAAAATTCAAAGCTAAACCTTTATATTTTATAGCTAGCTTCACACAAGCCTCCAAATTTTCCACATTATCCACAAATAACTTCTCCGACATAGATCTTTGTGCAGATTTCCATAAATAAAATTTAAAATTAAAACGTTTCTTTAAATTGAAACAATTACTAGCAAAAAGTATTAAAAATACTAAATTTAAAAACAAAAATTGTAAAACACTTTTGGAAAACATGTTAACGGTAATAAAGTTTATAAATAACTAAATTTTAATAATTTTTATTAGGAAAATTTATATAAACTTTATAAAGTTTGCAAATTTCTATAATGACTTTAATTAGTTATAGTAATATTATTTATAAATTATTATATGTTTATAATAGATAGCTTAAAATAGTTTATTATTAAAATTGTTTGCAATTTTGACACAGAATTAACATTTCATGTGCTTTGTGTTTATGACATTTGCTGTGGATCAGCTGTTATTGTTTAAAGCACCTTGAAAAGGTTTTTGTTTATATTTTATTTATTTGCTTGTTTTTTTTTTTTTAATTTAAAGTATGTACTAACTATTGAAGTAAGATTAATATTAGTTAATAAAAATAAATTGATTTTAATTGGCCAAGCTCCAGTAAAACATTTGTTTTTAATTTTCTTTTTAAAGAAACTTTTTAATGTTTTAATGAAGCAAAGCCTTACAAAAATTAATAAAAAATATTGAAAATAGAAATTTAATATTAAATGTTGTTTGTTTATTTGTTTTTTATGGAAACTTTAAAAGTAAAAAAAGTAAATATGTACTATTTTATATGGACGTTTAGATAAGGCGTGCTTTTTTTAACAGATAACTCGGTTTTATTAACACTATGAGAGGTTTGAACTTTTCTAAGGCAAATATTTAAATGCATTTTTTAATAAGGTTCTATTGGTTAAGTTCCCAGTAAATTGTTTCAAATATTTCCTTTAGAATTTTTCAATTTAAAGTTGAAATGTTTCAAAACCTATGAAATTTATATGAAAACTTTTAGGAAATTTATTGGAAAAACACTGAGGACCTGTTCCTCTTAATGCCAACGAATCCAAATCTCACTAGAATTGCATCAAACCTATTCCCATAAGTGAATTTTGTATTATTTATAAATCCATTAAAATTAACACTAACAAACACATGCACTTATTAAGAATTTTAAAATAAATTAGTATTATCTTTATTTTAAAAAAATATTTATTTATTATTGATAGTTTAATACGGTTTTAGTTTAAATAATGACAAGTATTGTTTTATTAACCAAAAGTTTCCTTTAAATGCAAAAAACTTTTGGCTAAAAGACTGAAAATAAAATACATACAGGATAACAAAATTTTAAAAGTATTTAAGACATTTACAAGATATTAAATCATTAAAATTTCATAAGTTTTAGTAAAAAAACACAAATTATAAAGAATACACAGTTAAATTATTTAATTAAATAGTTTTAAATATTAAAAGTTATCACCTGAGGCGTTAGCTAAACTACAGAAAGTTGCCGAGGGAAGGGAATGCTAACTTAAATTAATATATAGTAAAGATAAGAATAGAAAAAGTTTTTAAAGGAAAGGAAGACATCAGGAAAAGAATTTGCAAGATGCAGTTAAAAGAAAGACCCTTAAACCTTAATTAAATTAGTGTACAAATAAACAGAGATTTTTAAATTCAAAACTTTAACAAAAAGTTTCTACTCAAATCTCTGCGATATTAGGGGGTTTTTGTTGTCTAAACACTAAAACTTTTCTTTAAAGTTTTAACGCTTAAATATTAGTATTTTTTTAAAAACCCTGTAATATCTACATTTAAAAAAAGCTGTTTTTTTTTCAAAGTGCTGTGCTTTCTTAAACATAACATAAATTTATCATAATTTATAATTAAATATGTTTTCTTTAAACTTAAATTAAATAAATTTAAATTTTAAATAAAAAAGGCAGCTTTCTTTTGTGACTTAATTTCTAGCTAAATAGTTAATTTCTGACTTTTTTTCAAACATTTTTTTAGAAGAAAAAATTTTGTTTTTTTAAAAATTATTTTTTTAAACACTTTTAGTGTTCATTTTTTCATTAAGAGAAAATTTGGATTTGTTTGTTTTCTTAAATCTGGGCCTAATTAAGTTTTTTTTTTTTGTATAGATTATAATGTGAGGAAATAGTGTCAGTTTGGTTTTTGGGAAAGAAATTTAACTGCTATGCGAGAAAGCGGTGTTTGTGTAGGGACCACTGTAAATGGAACTGCCGGAATTTGAAACGGTCTTAGTGCTGCGTCTAGCCATTATACATAAAACGGCTGCAACAACAGCCAACATTAAAATTAGGCCAGCTATAGCGATGGCTATGGCAAAAGCACGTTGAGAGATACAGAGAGCATCTTCCAATGTCTGGAAAAAGGAAAAGGAAGGAATTAAAACATCAAATAGCTATCTATGTAGTTCAGTTCTAGTTCAAATCTAGTTCAGTTCAAGTTAAGTACTAGTTCAGTTCTAGTCCAAGTTCAGTGCTAGTTTAGTTCAGTTCTAGTTCAGTTCTAGTTCAGTTCTAGTTCAGTTCTAGTTCAGTTCTAGTTCAGTTCTAGTTCAGTTCTAGTTCAGTTCTAGTTCAGTTCTAGTTCAGTTCTAGTTCAGTTCTAGTTCAGTTCTAGTTCAGTTCTAGTTCAGTTCTAGTTCAGTTCTAGTTCAGTTCTAGTTCAGTTCTAGTTCAGTTCTAGTTCAGTTCTAGTTCAGTTCTAGTTCAGTTCTAGTTCAGTTCTAGTTCAGTTCTAGTTCAGTTCTAGTTCAGTTCTAGTTCAATTCTAGTTCAGTTCTAGTTCAGTTCTAGTTCTGTTCTAGTTCAGTTCTAGTTCAGTTCTAGTTCAGTTCTAGTTCAGTTCTAGTTCAGTTCTAGTTCAGTTCTAGTTCAGTTCTAGTTCAGTTCTAGTTCAGTTCTAGTTCAGTTCTAGTTCAGTTCTAGTTCAGTTCTAGTTCAGTTCTAGTTCAGTTCTAGTTCAGTTCTAGTTCAGTTCTAGTTCAGTTCTAGTTCAGTTCTAGTTCAGTTCTAGTTCAGTTCTAGTTCAGTTCTAGTTCAGTTCTAGTTCAGTTCTAGTTCAGTTCTAGTTCAGTTCTAGTTCAGTTCTAGTTCAGTTCTAGTTCAGTTCTAGTTCAGTTCTAGTTCAGTTCTAGTTCAGTTCTAGTTCAGTTCTAGTTCAGTTCTAGTTCAGTTCTAGTTCAGTTCTAGTTCAGTTCTAGTTCAGTTCTAGTTCAGTTCTAGTTCAGTTCTAGTTCAGTTCTAGTTCAGTTCTAGTTCAGTTCTAGTTCAGTTCTAGTTCAGTTCTAGTTCAGTTCTAGTTCAGTTCTAGTTCAGTTCTAGTTCAGTTCTAGTTCAGTTCTAGTTCAGTTCTAGTTCAGTTCTAGTTCAGTTCTAGTTCAGTTCTAGTTCAGTTCTAGTTCAGTTCTAGTTCAGTTCTAGTTCAGTTCTAGTTCAGTTCTAGTTCAGTTCTAGTTCAGTTCTAGTTCAGTTCTAGTTCAGTTCTAGTTCAGTTCTAGTTCAGTTCTAGTTCAGTTCTAGTTCAGTTCTAGTTCAGTTCTAGTTCAGTTCTAGTTCAGTTCTAGTTCAGTTCTGGTTCAGTTCTAGTTCAGTTCTAGTTCAGTTCTAGTTCAGTTCTATTTCAGTTCTAGTTCAGTTCTAGTTCAGTTCTAGTTCAGTTCTAGTTCAGTTCTAGTTGATTTCTAGTTCAGTTCTACCACACTTCACTTACCTTTTCTTTAGTTATTGAATCATCATCTCCCTCGGTAACATCGACATTTTCATTAACATAAAGACCAGAAAAGACTTCAATGGTAGCTGGAGAACCCTCTTCGTCTTTGTTATCGTTGTTAGTTTGTCGTTTGGGTCGTTTGCCGCCGCAAAGGGGAGCCTTTCAAGAAAAAAATAATATTAATGTTATATAAAACAAATATAAGAATAACTCAGCCTACCGCTTGGCATTCGGGATCCTTTAAAGCACACAATTTAACATTACATTGATAGTAAACCGAGGTGGTATAGGGGAATTTATGAGCAGGGAAAGTAACATTGGCCGCCAAGCGATCTAAGGTATAGTTGAATTGACCCATAATTTCATTATCCATAGGACAGCTGAAATAAAATAAACAGATTAATGTAAGAAATCAAAATTTCTTAATAAAGAATATTTTACACACCCATCATCACCCACTAAACGCTGTTCACCCCAACCCAAACCATCACGCACAATACAATCGGTTACATGCAAACCATACACATCTTGTTTATCGATATTGATAACAATGGTCAAGGGATCTCCGATTTTCACATCATTGGCTATCTTATGCTCTGCATTATATATTTTCATATGGCAACCAGGCATTGGAATTTCATTATCCACATCACTTTCGTTATTCATCATTTCTTCTTCGTTGTAGACATCTTCCTCATCTAATTCATCACCAGCAGCACGATATTTATCTAATGATCTGCCATAACCTCTACGATCAGTGCTATCGGCTTCGGCACTTCTAAAAGCTTGAGGTTTTTGGGGATATTTACCTCCAGCACTGGCTTTTACCACTTTATTGTGGGACTTTTTCATGTTCATGGCAGCATCACGGGATTTATAGGCACAGCGTACATGATAACCACGTCCAGCATCGGTGATCAGTTTCAAATGGGGCTGTAGAACTATGGTATTAAAGAATTCAATGCCACCATCATCCTGTAAGTGGAAGAAAATAAATTGTTATTGTTACAATAGAATTGACAAAATTATACACATAACTGTAAACTCCTTACAAAAAAAAAAAAAAAAAAAAACGAAACGATTTTCTCCTTTAATATCATTTTCATGTTTATTATTAAAATAAACATAAATTATACATAAATACTTATAAGTATATGTACATATGTATGTAAAACTAAATAGACCAAAAAAAAAAACTTAAACTAAGAACATACATTATTTATTTGCACTAAATAATAACAATAAGCAATGAAAAAACATTATTATAATCATTGTAGTTTTTATAAACGTCATCGTACAAATAAAAACCGTAATTTTAGGTGCATGTGTCTTAAGTCTTTTGTTTTCCACAGCAACAATCATATGGTCACATTAGTAATAACATGCCTTAGAGGGTTTTACCGTATTAAGAAAAAACAACAACACACACACATAAAACAAAAGAAGAAGAAAAAAGTTTTAAAAGAATAGAATTTGTGCATTAAATGATAAACTGCAACTTTAACAAAAGACTAAGAAAATAATACAAAACTGTTTAAATAATAAAATGTAGAAATAATATAGAAAAGAAAAAAAAAAACACCAACAACAACAACCAAGAAAAAACGGTAAATGTAGGAAGTTGTTTGTTGGTTTTTTTAATACTTTATATGCAACCATTATGCTAAATAAATAAATAAATTATAAATGAAGAACAAACAACAACAATAATAAAGAAAATAAATTCAAGTATGAAAAATATGATACCGTTATTTATTTGCATTAACAAATATTCAATGAATATGAGAGTTTAAGTTAGAACATAAACATCTAGAAGGTTTTTTTCTCAATAGTAAACGAAAGTAATTAGAAGAGATGAATGGTGATTTTAAGTCTTAAGAAAGGATAGATTTCAAACTTTTTACTAAATTATTAAACAAAAAAATGGAAAATTTACTTTGATTGCTACTAAATCTTTTTCAATTGAGGCAAAAACAATAAAGTTTTATTAAAAAAAAAACATGTGTAGCCTCAAATCATAATTAAAAATCAATAAAAACCATGAGAACTAAAAACAAGTTTGTTGTTCAAGTCTTTTGTTTTGTGTGCACAACAACACAGCTTTAGATGAAAATTTTAATCAAAATTAGAAAAAATTTCGAAACAAAAAAATAAAACAATACGAAATACAACAATACAACAATACAACCATACGACACCGTTATAGTCAGTTCTAGTTCAGTTCTAGTTCAGTTCTAGTTCAGTCTAGGTAAGTTCTAGTTCAGTTCTAGTTCAGTTCTACTTCAGTTCTAGTTCAGTTCTAGTTCAGTTCTAGTTCAGTTCTAGTTCAGTTCTAGTTCAGTTCTAGTTCAGTTCTAGTTCAGTTCTTGTTCATTTCTAGTTCAGTCAGTTCGTTCTAGTTCAGTTCTGTTCAGTTCTAGTTCAGTTCTATTCAGTCTAGTTCAGTTCTAGTTCCAGTTCTAGTCTTCAGTTCTTAGTTCAGTTCTAGGTTCAGTTCTAGTTCAGTTCTAGTTCAGTTCTAGTTCAGTAGTTCTAGTTCAGTTCTAGTTCAGTTCTAGTTCAGTTCTAGTTCAGTTCTAGTTCAGTTCTAGTTCAGTTCTAGTTCAGTTCTAGTTCAGTTCTAGTTCAGTTCTAGTTCAGTTCTAGTTCAGTTCTAGTTCAGTTCTAGTTCAGTTCTAGTTCAGTTCTAGTTCAGTTCTAGTTCAGTTCTAGTTCAGTTCTAGTTCAGTTCTAGTTCAGTTCTAGTTCAGTTCTAGTTCAGTTCTAGTTCAGTTCTAGTTCAGTTCTAGTTCAGTTCTAGTTCAGTTCTAGTTCAGTTCTAGTTCAGTTCTAGTTCAGTTCTAGTTCAGTTCTAGTTCAGTTCTAGTTCAGTTCTAGTTCAGTTCTAGTTCAGTTCTAGTTCAGTTCTAGTTCAGTTCTAGTTCAGTTCTAGTTCAGTTCTAGTTCAGTTCTAGTTCAGTTCTAGTTCAGTTCTAGTTCAGTTCTAGTTCAGTTCTAGTTCAGTTCTAGTTCAGTTCTAGTTCAGTTCTAGTTCAGTTCTAGTTCAGTTCTAGTTCAGTTCTAGTTCAGTTCTAGTTCAGTTCTAGTTCAGTTCTAGTTCAGTTCTAGTTCAGTTCTAGTTCAGTTCTAGTTCAGTTCTAGTTCAGTTCTAGTTCAGTTCTAGTTCAGTTCTAGTTCAGTTCTAGTTCAGTTCTAGTTCAGTTTTAGTTCAGTTCTAGTTCAGTTCTAGTTCAGTTCTAGTTCAGTTCTAGTTCAGTTCTAGTTCAGTTCTAGTTCAGTTCTAGTTCAGTTTCTAGTTCAGTTCTCGTCAGTTCTAGTTCAGTTCTAGTTCAGTTCTAGTTCAGTTCTGTTCAGTTCTAGTTCAGTTCTAGTTCAGTTCTAGTTCAGTTGTTAGTTCAGTTCTAGTTTAGTTCTAGTTCAGTTCTAGTTCAGCTAAGTTCTTTCCAGTTTTCACCGAATAATGTATTATACTAGCATACATATTAAAATTTATTTACAATTATTTTCTTAATATTTTTATTAACTTTTTGTAACAAAAGTTTCGTTCTTCAGTCTTTGTTAGTTGAAAGAAATAAAACTAATAATATTAGCTCATTTCTGCGCCGGAAACATTAATGAGAGGGTAATATTCTTTAAACAAAAACTTGGCAAATAACAAAAGAAAAAAAATATATATATTAAATCATCTTTTGTTTTTATTACTTTTAAGAACAATTTCTTTGAACTTAAAATTATAACTGAAATTAAGCACAGAAGAACATGAGATGTTCATGTGTAGAAGAAAGAAAAACTACGTTCTAGGTTTAACAACATTTGGTTTGGTCACACTTAGTTAAGCATAAAATGTTAATGATGAAAATCATATTAATGTTTACGTACATACTATACGTACTCATCAGAAAGATGTATGAAAAAACATCTTTTAAAAAGTAGGCGACCACCAAACAAGAGAAAAGAAAACTTAAAGTTCTATTATAAAGGTGAACTATAGATATGCTTTTTTTTCGTTTAAAACTCAAAGTAATAACTTTGGGTTTGTTAGACCTTTAGCCAAGTTTAAGCTTTTTTTATTGTTCTTTATTTCCAGGAAGTAAAGAGCTGTTTGTTTAGAACTCCATTAAGTTTAATAAGAAAAATATTTTACCTGTAGCTTTTGCTAATGATCTTCATTTTTTAAGAAAGAGAACTTTGGAGTAGATACAATACATTGAATATGTTTATATTTACATATGTAGAAAAAATTAGTATAATACTGTGAATAATTTTCTTGATTAGCCAAGCATGGATTTCCAATTAGAAGTCAATTGTTTGCCAAGTTATAAAGTTTTTGTTTTATTATATATTTATAATTAAAAACTAAGTTTCATAAAACTTTATTATGAATTTTTTATAAGTTTATTTTAATTTTAATTAATTTGTTAAGTAATGTGTAAATTGTTCTTGAATAGTTCTTTATTCTTTATAATAGTAATTACATATTGTATTTTTTTAGTTCTGAGCTAGAACTGAGCTAGAACTAAGCTAGAACTGAACTAGAACTGAACTAGAACTGAACTAGAACTGAACTAGAACTGAACTAGAACTGAACTAGAACGAACTAGAACTGAACTAGAACTGAACGAGAACTGAGCTAGAACTGACTAAACTGAACTAGAACTGAACTAGAACGTAACTAGAACTGAATTAGAACTGAACTAGAACTGAACTAGAACTGAACTAGAACTGAACTAGAACTGAACTAGAACTGAACTAGAACAGAACTAGAACTGAACTAGAACTGAACTAGAACTGAACTAGATGAACTAGAACTGAACTAGAACTGAACTAGAACTGAACTAGAACTGAACTAGAACTGAACTAGAACTGAACTAGAACTGAACTAGAACTGAACTAGAACTGAACTAGAACTGAACTAGAACTAACTAGAACTGAACTAGAACTGAACTAGAACTGAACTAGAACTGAACTAGAAACTGAACTAGAACTGAACTAGAACTGAACTAGAACTGAACTAGAACTGAACTAGAACTGAACTAGAACTGAACTAGAACTGAACTAGAACTGAACTAGAACTGAACTAGAACTGAACTAGAACTGAACTAGAACTGAACTAGAACTGAACTAGAACTGAACTAGAACTGAACTAGAACTGAACTAGAACTGAACTAGAACTGAACTAGAACTGAACTAGAACTGAACTAGAACTAGAACTGAACTAGAACTGAACTAGAACTGAACTAGAACTGAACTAGAACTGAACTAGAACTGAACTAGAACTGAACTAGAACTGAACTAGAACTGAACTGAACTGAACTGAACTGAACTAGAACTAGACTGAACTAGAACTGAACTAGAACTGAACTAGAACTGAACTAGAACAGAACTAGAACTGAACTAGAATGAACTAGAACTGAACTAGAACTGAACTAGAACTGAACTAGAACTGAACTAGAACTGAACTAGAACTGAACTAGAACTGAACTAGAACTGAACTAGAACTGAACTAGAACTGAACTAGAACTGAACTAGAACTGAACTAGAACTAACTAGAACTGAACTAGAACTGAACTAGAACTGAACTAGAACTGAACTAGAACTGAACTAGAACTGAACTAGAACTGAACTAGAACTGAACTAGAACTGAACTAGAACTGAACTAGAACTGAACTAGAACTGAACTAGAACTGAACTAGAACTGAACTAGAACTGAACTAGAACAGAACTAGAACTGAACTAGAACTGAACTAGAACTGAACTAGAACTGAACTAGAACTGAACTAGAACTGAACTAGAACTGAACTAGAACTGAACTAGAACTGAACTAGAACTGAACTAGAACTGAACTAGAACTGAACTAGAACTGAACTAGAACTGAACTAGAACTGAACTAGAACTGAACTAGAACTGAACTAGAACTGAACTGAACTGAACTGAACTAGAACTAGAACTGAACTAGAACTGAACTAGAACTGAAC